TAATTTTTAACACTTTTTAAAAAATACCTTTCCCAGGGAAAATCAAAAGACATAAAAAGAACCTACATCAAAGCCTTAGATGACAATAAATAAGGCCCAAGTCCGAACAGTTCTGTACCAAAGACATAAATACAGGAATTGGAATTTTTTTTTTCAAAGTTTGGCTTACCTGCTTATGAGCATGATCATAAGAATTAATATGATTGTCAAACTCCTGGTGTTTGTGATACTGCTTGTCACATAATTCACAGTAAAAGTTTGCCTTTACGTCTTCCAGGGCCTTTGCTGTGGACTTCTCCTTTTCTGCAAAGTCCTTTAAAAAAAAAAGGCAAAGGTATTGATTGCATTTCTGCCTGTTAAAATATTCTACTCTCATATTAATCAAATTGGTATATAATTTTACAGGGACTAAAAAAGTAAGCTGAGTTTCATTGTTTCCTGTAAATTCATCGGCACTGTGCAGGAAGTAGCCTACACTTTAGCATCATCCCTAACTTATCAATAAACATGTAAGTTTTCTCTAATTAGCTCACTGGTTACTCCTACAGCCTGATCATCACTGATCCCTCCTCTTGCATTCTGACTACAGGTTGTGATCCTACCTATTAAAAACCAACCATTACTCTGGACTTTCCCACTTCAAGTATTTTATGCTTCCTTCCTGCTTCACAATTTCCTCTGATATCACCCATTAAGTTTTTGTGTTTTGTACAACTCTATCTTAATCTGTAGAAGGCTATGTCTCAGTTTTGGCTGTATTATTCAACTACATAAAACACTCTTTCATTTTCTCATTACCTATACATAGTGAAAATTATTTACTGAGTAAACTATGTGTCAGGTATGTGCATTAAATTATTTATTCCTGAAAATAAATCAAAGAGTTAGAGTCTATTTATATATGCATTTTACTGATGTATCAACCAATGTTTGATGATACCAACTATGGTCATGAAGTTAGTGAATGGAATAGGGCTTGTAAGCAGACAACCTATCCCCAGATAAGTTGGTGGTGAACAGCTACAATCTTCCATCTCTCTTTAAATCAACTTGCTTAATGTGTCATAAAGCTTCTTCTTACCCAACACCATCATCTCTTATCAAATCCTGCTTCATTACAATCCTCTTTAATTCTATCCCCAACATACACCAATTAGAATTGTTAATTCTTTTTATGCTCATTGTTTTCAAAGTATTTAAGAAAAGAAAGCATTTTTCTTCCCTACACTGCTAAACAATGGATTGTCCTGCCCAAAATACTTAACACATATCATAGAACCTCATGGATAATGGTAACTAACAGATTCATGATTTTAACAATTCTGTGTGTTCTTTCCTATTATCATGGTAACAAGTAAAGAGTGATGGCACGTAGATAATACCACATGGATATGTACAAGGAATGAATGAAAAAGTTAAAATTAAAGGATAGGTGTTGCTCTAAAATGGCTAGCTCTCTGTTACAGGAAAGCAGACCACAATCTTGCATGATACATTCATCAGTGACTAGACCACAAATGTGGTCACCAGGAACTGAGTCAGGTTTTTGCAGGGTAGAAAAAGAAGAAGTTATTTTATCATTATTTACAGATAACAACATTCTTTACACAGAAGACTCCAAAAACTCCAACAAAGGTGTCTAGATTTAATAAAATTCAGTGGCACAGTACAATACAAGGCAACATTCAAAAATCAATATCATTATGATACACAAATAAACTCAACTGATGACTTGACAAAAGAAGATATAGTATAATTTCAGGGTTTGGAGGTAAACTAGGAATTTCACTGATTGAGTCATGGTTTCTCTTATGTCATTTGAACAACAACGTTAGAAAATAGTTGGTTTATTCTGCTCATTGCACAGAAGTAGTACAATCTCGTGTGCTGGGGAAAGAAATAACCAAGAAATCACAGTTGTTTTATAGAATAAGCATATTTTTCATGTTTAGATTATGTACAGGCTTGTGCTATGGTCACTAAATAACCAACAATGAGAATTCTGTGGTTATTCTTAGTGCCTTCATGTGAGCACGTTTCCAAAACAAGCTTCATTTATCATGCTACATTTCATTTTAAAATTTTGTAATTTAAAAGAGTTAAGGACTGGCCAAATAGTTCAGTGGATTAAAGTGCCTGCAACCAGGCAGAGAGATCAAGGGGCTCAATTCATGGGCCTGCCATGCCAGCTCTTCCCCTGGGGCACACTGAGACAGCAATTGAGACTGGACGTGGTGGTGCGTGCCTGTAATCCCAGCTCATGGAGGCTGTAAACAGGCAGATCACTACGAGTCTGATCTA